ACTAGACAGAGAAGCAAACGGCTCCGAATCCAACTGCTGCAGTTGCTGCTGCAGGTGCTGCTGCTGCTGCTGCTGTTGCTGCTGCTGCTGCTGCTCTGCGCTCTCATCATCTGCAGGACAAATGGGGTCTGAGGGGGCTGCGCCCTGGTCGGTGAGGCTGGGGGTGTCTTCTCTATGCGTCAGCTGCTGCTGCTGCTGCTGTTGCTGCTGCTGCTGCTGCTGCTGCTGCTGGGTGAGTCTGCTGCTGTGGGCATTCGCAGAGTCTTTAGAGGCTTCTCGCTGCGCCCGTCCCCTCGTGCATGGCCGGAGAGAAGCAGCTCTCTGGCGGCAGGGGTCAGCAGCAGCAGCAGCAGCAGCAGCAGCAGCAGCACCAGTACCAGCAGCAGCAGCAACAGCAGCAGCAGCAGCGTGAGGGTTGTTTTGCTGCTGCGCCGCGAATCCATTGAAGTGGTTGTCTGCTGCTGCATCTCCTAGTGTCTCTGCAGCAGTGATATCTCCGCCTGGGTTTGTATGTGTCTGCTGCATCCCTGCTGCTGCTGCTGCTGCTGCTGCAGCAGCAGCAGCAGCAGCAGCAGCAGCAGCTGTATTCCCCTGTGTTATCCCTGATTCATCACTATGTTGTATAGGATCATGTTCTTGCATAACCACCGCCGCACCACCACCACCACCACCACCAGCACCACCAGCACCACCACCACCACCACCACCACCACCAGCAGCAGCAGCAGCAGCAGCAGCAGCAGCACTACCCGTATGAATAAGAGTATTAAGGTGGTGGTGTTGTGGGGTGGGTGGAGCAGCAACAACCTCTTGTAGTATACCCTCAACCCCCTCCTCTCTGACTCTTCTGGTGACCTCGGTGAGTCCCTGCCACTCTCCTCTCTCTATCCCCTCTGCGCTTCTCTTTCTTACTTCAGCCCAAAACCTAACAGCAACCTCTCTTGCTCTGTCTCCTCCCCCATATCTATTCTCACCGAAGTGTTTATACACCCGACGACCTGTCTCCGGAGACACCCACTCTACACGCCAGTAACGACGCGTACACATCACCACATGGTATACACGAGGAGGTGGGGGACGTGCATGCACACCGTGTACACCCAACACACGCTGCTGCTGCTGCTGCTGCTGCTGCTGCTGCTGCTGCGGAGGGTGGTGGGGGTGGTGGGGGTGGTGGGGGTGGTGATTGGTGGTAGGGGATGCTGCAGCAGGAGCAGAGTGGGGAGCAGCAGAAGGGCTCATGCAACAGCTGCTGCTGCTGCTCACACCAGATGATGCCTTTCTCTTATACATACCAGATGAACTGGATCCTGCTGCTGCTGCTGCTGCTGCTGCTGCTGCTGCTGCTGTGTCGCTGCTGCAGACAGGCAGCAGCTGAGCGCCAGAAGGGTCCCCCAACGCGCAGTCTCTCTTAACCCCATCCATCAACACCATACAACCACCAGAATCACTAGACCCACACATCTCCCCGT